ATAGACAACCCAACTGACTGCTTTAGGCCATAAAGTTTTTGGAATTTTTCTTCTTGAAAGCATGCTTCGAACCATATTTATAATTGTTTGGTTCTTTCTCTCTACAATACCATTCTGTTGTGGAGTGTATTGCCATCAGTTTTCTATGTATGCCATTTTCCTTGCAAAAATTTGTGAACTCATGTGATGTGAATTCACCTCCACTATCAGTGCAAAGGCATCTTATATATGAACCAGTTTCTTTCTCAACACGACTCTTATAATTCTTGAAAGTGATGAAAGCTTCTGACTTCTCTACTAAGAAATAACCCAAGTTTTGCGGCTAAAATCATCAATGAAAGTGATCAGGTACCTTTTCTTGCTATATAAAGTGGGGTTGATCAGGCCATAGATGTAGGCATGCACTAGTTCAAGAATTTGAGAAGCCCTCCATGTGCTCTATTTTGGAAATGGATATCTTCATTGTTCCTACCAAACAGTCTTCACACAACTTCGAAAGAGCTTGAAATATTGGCAGTCCAGTCACCATCCTTTTCTGCTGAAGAGTTTTCAAGCCATTAGAGCTTAAATGCCCATATCTAAAGTGCCAAAGCCGAGCTTGATCCTCTGTAAGAGAAGAAAAGCATATTTCTTCTTTTAGATGTTTCTGAGCAGGTAAGATGAACATTCTATTTGAGGACATTGCAGTTACCATGATTAATCCTCTCTCAGGATGATAAATCTTACATTTCCCACGTTGTATGAGAATTGTAAGCCCCTTCTCTTGTAGCTGTCTCACACTTAGCAAATTATTCTTCAATCTCGGGACATAAAACACCTTAGTGATGACCTGCACAATTCCATTCACTAGCATTCGTATATTTCCTTTTCTAATCACAATCATGCTTGAATTGTCTCTTAACTTTACAGAAGTGTTGAAACTTTCATCAAGCTTGGAGAAAAGCTTATTCTTGCCACACATATGGTTGCTGCAACCTAAGTCAAAAAACCATAACTGCTCTTTACTAGCTTCCTTGACATCCACATATGCCATTAACAACATTTCTTCACTAGTTTCTGCATAGTGTGCCTTTGTCTTTGTCTCCTTGTTTGGACATTCATATTGAAAATTTCCAAGCTTATGACAATTGTAGCACTCAATGGTAGAATTGTCAAAGCTTTGTCTACCTTTACCTCTACCTCGTCGTCTTCCTCTAAATCTGCCATGACCTCGTACTCTTTCTCTTGATTGATCTTCATAAATAACCTTCAATGCTTGTTCTTCCACAACATGGCCTTTCATGCGTTGTTCATGCACTAGAAGACTGCTTTGTAGCACATCAATGGATAAGGTGTCTAGATCATTAAACTCCTCAATAGATCACACAACATAGTCAAATTTAGGAGTCATAGATCTTAAAATCTTTTCAATGACCACAACATCCTCCATCTTCTCACCATGAATCCTCATCTTGTTGGCTATAGTAAGGGTTTTAGCAAAGTACTAATTCACAGATTTCCCTACCTTAATTTTGAGCACCTTAAATTCCTTTTGAAGAGCTTGTCGTTGTGCACACTACATCCGTGTAGTCCCTTGGTACTTCTACTTCAAAGAGTCCCAAATGCTTTTTGTTGTATCCTTGTTCAGAATGGTCTCCAAGACTGACCGATCAATGGCTTGGAAGAGATAATTCTTAGTCTTCAAATCCTTTAGTTTTGCATCGTCAATCACCTTCTATTGTCCTTCAGTGAGTTATGTCCCTGCTTCTGCTATGGGGATCCCTTACTTTATCAAGCTCCAACGTTCGTTTAAGCGTAGAAAATTCTCTAGGAGTATGCACCAATGATCATAGTATCCATCAAACTTTGGAATTGCTAGTTGCACAAAGCTACTTTCAGTTGCCATCCTTACTACTACACGATTAGAAAATTGTTGCTTCTCAAGTTTCGATCAGGCCCATTGATGGAGCTTTGATACCAAATGTTAAGAGACCTATGTATTGAAAGCAAGAATCGGGAGAATATCTTATTCCTTGAACAAAAACTTATTGGCTTATAAATAGCCTTACAAAGATAACTAAAACATAATTGAATGCAACCCACATTTAACAATCCTAAAAGCGTGGTCAATGACTAAAGAATAGATCAAACTAACTAGCACGTCCCTTATCAATAAGTAATACAAACAAATCAATAACAAACTACTTAAAACAAATCAAAACATTAACGGCTGTGTTTGTTTTATTATTTGGAGTAATATTTTTGAAAAAGTAAAGTTGGGTTGTTATTACAAGGTAGAATTTGAAATTAACAAAAACAACCCATAGGTTTGTTAATTTAGCTAAACACCCCATATAATAAAAAGTTTATAAATTAACAAAAACACCTCCACCCACCCACATTTGCCAGATTTTGGCCACCACTGTCGGGAGGTGGCTAGAATCTGCCGTAATGGCGTACGACCGGCTGGATCTAGCCAGTCGGGCGTTGATATGGCCTTTTCTAACCATATCTAAGGCTAGATTTGGCCGTCAACAACCAGATCTTTGGTTGTGGATCTGGCCGGAAATAGATATATCTTTTTCCAGCTAGAGCCATGGTGGATCTGCTGGAAAAGGTTAAGATCAGTGCACTACTAGCTAGATCTAGCCGATAGTGCGCCATTATGCCAAATTTTGACCACCTTCTAGCATTGGTGGTCGGAATCTAGCAAATATAAATGGATGGGGGTGTTTTGTTAATTTATAAACTTTTTTGTTAGGGGTGTTTAGTTAAATTAACAAACCCAGGGGGTTTAAAAATAGTTGAATATAGTAGGATTGGATTTTGAGAATAGAGAAACAAATATGCATTTTGGGTAGGATAGGGCAAAAATAATATAACAAACGGGCCCAACAACTTTAACAGTTATTGCCTATTAGCAAACAATTTCTGGCCTGATTAGCTTTGATCTACCAACTGCTTACCATATTTAGGTTGACCATGACCAATGAAGGCTTGTATTTTGCCCGGTTGGGCCAGATCAAATTATGATTTATTTTATTTAAGTATAAGAAAAAAAAAAAAAAAAAACTTCTTAAATCATTATAAAAATGAATTGGAAATATTCAATTTTATTGGTATTTAAGTATAGGAAAAGGAAAAGAAAATAAGATCAGGGTTGGTTCGCATGAAGAGACATCTATCTAAACTCATGAAATGCTCCTCCAAACAACAAATTAAATATATTTTTTTTGTCCTATATCATTTAAAATAAAGTAAACGACTTTTTCCACCCAAATAATGGCTTAATTACAATTTTCTATCCACAAACTTTTAAAATACCACTTTATTACCCAAATTTATACTCCGTCTCTAATTTTGGTATCATTCTGACCCCATATCACCACCATTCTCTTCCCTGATTATCACTCACCAAAACCCCTAAAGCCCTACTCTCGTTGACCCTGTCAATCGTCGGTAATTGAGCGATTAGGGTTTGCATAGTTGCTCCTCCCAAATTAAATTCCGATCAATCCTAACATCTAAAATCAAATCCAAAAGATTCATCGGCCTCTCCTCTTTAAAAATCTCAATATCCTAGACTGAGTTTGCTCTTTATAGTCTATTTGTTACTGGAATATAAATTTGAGTAGTAAAATAATATTTTAAAAGTTTGTGGATGGAAAAATGTCATTAAAACATTATTTGGGTGGGAAAAAGTTGTAAACTCTTTAAAACATTATGATCTTCGAAAGTTGGTCTTGCCTATTAATGAAAAGATGAAGAAATTGATTTGGGGTAATCATTTGTGGGTTTGATTGAAGAAACTGATTGATTAATTTGTGGATTTTGTGGAAGAGATTTGATTGATCGATTTGTGGATTTCATCAAAGAAATTGATTAATGTGATTGAAGATGATGAAGAGTTCGAAGGAAAGAAATGATGGGCGAAGTAGATGTGGAAGGAAGGGTTTATTTATTTATTTTTTTAATTTTTATGCTGAATGACGTCATCGATTCAACCCATCGACCAGTTATTAAAACATTGGTAATTTTTTATCAGGAAGAGAGAGACAAAAACAAAAACTGCAACATGATCATATCACAAATTCAGTAATGTAGGGTGCGTTTGGTTTAGTATTTTGGATAGGATTTTAGGGATAGTATTGNCATTCTTTCAATCTTCATTTCGCATTCAATCTCATTCGCATCCTTCAAATCTCATTTCGCGGTCAATCTCATCTCAATCTTCTTCTTGCATCATTCTTTCGTCTTTCCCTCCTCTCTCTTCTTCTCTCCTCCTCTTGTCTATCTTCTTTCTTTGGCCCTCATCAGTAAAGGTGTTTCGGCGGCCAAAGCTAGTCAGCCGGCGGAGGGCCTTGCTGCGACCAATTCTGGCCAGTCGCCTGCACTCTCTGGCTAGTCAGATCTCTGCAGCCTACCCAACGTTAATATTTTTTTTTTGTTGGTTGTGGAATTGATAGATGGTATCTAAGTGTTCAATCAATACATCTTCGGTTTGATTGAAGAAATCTATTTGTGTTTTGGGTGTTAAGAACGATGAAGAAATTGATTTGGGGTAATCGATTTGTGGGTTTGATTGAAGAAACTGATTGACTAATTTGTGGATTTGGTGGAAGAGATTTGATTAATCGATTTGTAGATTTCATCAAAGAAATTGATTAATGTGATTGAAGATGATGAAGAGTTCGAAGCTCTCTTGTATTTGTGTTTTTGTGTGTGTGAGAGAAAGAATGAGTGCTGAAGGAAAGAAGGGTGAAGTAGATGCGGAAGGAAGGGTTTATTTATTTATTTTTTTAATTTTCATGCTGAATGACGTCATCGATTCAACCCATCGACCAGTTATTAAAACATTGGTAATCTTTTATCAGGAAGACAGAGACAAAAACAAAAGCTGCAACATGATCGTATCACAAATTCAGTAATGTAATTATTATTATTAGATAGAATAGTTGACATGACATCAATCCAATTGTAAACTCATTAATCCTCATATAAAATATAATACTCTCCAAACCCTAATCTTCTGAAAACCCTAAAATTCTCTTAAAAACATTACCAGAACTTGTAAATGGCTTTTCTTCAACTTGATGCAAATACTCTTGAAGCAGTTCCTTCACCGACCTTGCAGATAAAGGATGAAAATTCACACTCCATTCACTAACAAACCCTTCAACCAAATCCCACTTCTCCTCTTCCTTAATTTTCCTCCATTTCTTCCTCGCATCCTCTTCTTTCAGACCCAAGTACTGGCAAAACTCAGTGAACAGCAATTCTTTGCTTTTCTTCATGGCTTCTTCTTTTTGTACCAAATGGGTGTTCATCTTTGCCACTTCTGTTGCCAAATCTGATGCCAGCTCCGCATCACTGAGGTTGTTCTTGGTGCATAGCATCTGGATTTTGGGTTTGGCCAATTGGGGCTGGAAGTTTTGAGACTTTGGGATGGTGTTTGGGGGCAAAAAATTGATTCTTAGAGCCATTTTAAGGTCTTGGAGAAATGGGTTTGTTAGTTCTTTTTTTTTTGGGAAAATTGAAGTTTTGATGCTGATAAGAAGATTGAAGTTGTATGAAACAACAAGAGAGGGAAAGACTTGTCAATTGTATTAGTTAGGGTTTGGAGTTTAACAGTTAAAAAGATCATTGATTTTTATTTTTATTTTTTTCTAAAACATTTGCTAACATGACATCGATTGTTTGTATATGCTATAAGTAATATTTTCTCATTATTATGATAGGATGCTCATGAAATTAATATATTTACAAAGACTTACAGAATTAAAGATTCATACATCATACATGAGATGAAATTTTCCTTTTAATTTATAAACATGAAAAAAATATTGTGCTCTTCTCTGTATGATAATCAGCCCATGATCTAATTATATTGAATAATTGTTCCATTAAATTATTGTTGCTTCCAATATATAACTAAGTGATTTTAGCAGGCAAATTAGCACATTTCTACGATAAGCATTAAGTATAGAAGTTTGCAGCATTGGGTACTGGAAATATACTTGTACAGAAGGCCCATCTAGCCAAATCATTTGTTTGAGATCCACTATAAATTTAAGGTTGGCTTGTTTTTATAGAACAAGTATTTGTCACAAGTTCAGCTTCCAACAATATATTAAGAATGGACATGAATTCTAATTTCATATCTGTTCAGAGGATAAAAAATAATCATCAAATATATTTCAAAGGTTAAATCATAAAAGAATTGGTGAAAGGATGGTTCAATCCTGCAGTGTTTTCCAAGTTCCAACCACCTTCCAAAAAATCAGTACTTTATGTAAGGTCCAACATATCGCTATATTTGTTACAATTTGCAAAATATTTGGAGTTACCTGGCAATGGTTATAAAACTCAAATACTTAAATAAAGAAAACAGAAAGCTGCTTCCATCTGAAGATTCTATTCTCATTCATAGCACCAGGTTGAACTGCAGTGTTAGCTAATGTGCTCCGGTACCAAGTTTCTCTACTTCGTTTCTTCGACACGCATGGTAAGAGGCAGCACAGCATTTCCAGACATATCTGTTAAATTATATAACAACTTGCCGGTATATTTTTGACTCTTCATCACCGTGTTTCCAGTCTATTACGGATCCTTTCTGATAATATATCAACCCATGTGTCAGGGACACCAGGTAAGCACCAATGCATGCAGTCCTGTCCCCAGATTGCCACAGCATCCTTCTTTCCTAACCAAACCGCTGGATGAGCATCTGCTCTGAACTCACTCAAATGAGTCAGATCAAGTACTTCAATATCCGTGCTTTGCAACGCTTCTTGAATCACACGATTAAGTTGCCTTGCCTCTTTATTCACTCCATTGTTGCTGGGATCGAACCACAAGTCAAGCTGTCTAGGTATAAGTAACTAGTCCTCTAAAAAGAAGGTTCTAAAATTTGTGGAGTTTTAAAAAAAATGCAAGATCATGTTTCAACTTCAAGCATTGTTCAGATTCTAGACCTTTATTTATTTATTTATTTATTTATCATAGCAAAGGTCAATGAAATATTAACAAACTTTCAAAAATCACAAAACTTGATTTTGGCATGGTTCAACACATTCAGTCATAATACAGATCCTTAAAAGTTGTCATATGTGCAGTCTCATAATCAATTTATACCTGGTCTTCCTCGAGGGGCTTATCAAGCAAGCAACTACCGTTTCGATTCCACTCGCCACCATAAAAATGCCTTGGTGATTGCAAACGCCAGAACTTGAGTGTCTTGCTAGGAACTTCCTTTTGTATGTATGAGACCATATTCTCAAGAACAACCTTGAATCCATCTGACATCTCAAGAGGGGGATTTATCGGTTTCCCCTCACGGTAAAAGACAAGTGGTTTCTCCTTCGGGAATTTATCATAACCCCACCTAGACGAGGATACCATATTATTTATTGCATGATTAAAATAAAAAAGCAACATACCCTTGAGCCTAGTGTTATGAGATAAAGGCCCACTTCTAAATAACAATCAACATTTACAAGTCTATTTCAAAACAAATACAAATATCAAATTACAAGAAATAAAGGATATTAGTCAAGTGATCAATAAAAGGAAAGAAAGTTACCAATGGCCAGTGTTGAAAACAAGGACATCATAGAAGTCGGTGACGTTGGTCCATTCAACTGCAGGGGTATCAACATCTACCCGATATATTCCTTTCAATCCATCTTGATCACCGTCCTCAGACTGTTTTGGCTGCCACCTTTATTTGATCAGTTATCAGTATGTGAGGTTGTCATATCAAAGTCCATCAGATCAATGCAATTCAAATTGACACATTATAACACTTTAGACAAGTTTTTATAAGAAGCAACAGTCTAAACGTCAGAAAGATTGTTTCACACACTCCAAAAAAAATCAGCAGTAAGAACATGAATTAGTTACATTAGATGATAGCATATTGTTATACCAGAAACAAGAATGAAGATCAGGCTAATGAAATAAAATCTACAAATCCCAAGACAAGTGATCTGAACAAGTGCATAATTTAGAAGATGCATTACTGATTTCTAGAATAAGATACACGCTTTTCTAATATCAATTATCGAACCATCCCTTCAGGGCCCTATGCATACAGCTTTTGGGCTGCCAAAAAAAACAAAGAATCATATTGAATCGAAATGTTGGATATTGTTTCAAGATTCCCACAATCAAAACTAGAACATCTATTCTCAGGAAGAAAACTCTTCCAATCAAAGACCATTATCAATGAATTCACATATTACAACATCATTAATTTCACCAGGGAACAATCAACATAAACATCAATCTTTCTCCAAATATCAGCACCAATTCTTCGGTACTTCCCCTGTCGTCTAAAATGCAAGTTTGACACCTTTCCATCAAAACCTAAAGATCACTAACACAACAAAAGCTTAATTCTCGATCCTTAATTGATCACATAAGGGCGTCCATGGCATATCACAAAATTCCATTAAATTTTTTTCCCATATATGCTTAAATCTAGCCATTAGATCTCTCTTCTCTTTCTACAAAAATTCCCTAACCTGCTTAGCAAATTTAAGTTTGATACTGGGCCTCTGCGAAACCCTTAGACTTTTTGGAAGGAAACTCATGGCATTTTGATAGGCCCCCGGAAATGAAACCAAACACTTTAACATCCGCAATTACATTATCACATTATTAAATTACAAAATTAAACCATAGCAATTTAAATCAAAATTCAATCAAAATAATGAATACCCTTTAAAGATAAAAACAACAAAAAAATAAAAAAAAGCTTGAACATTACCTGTATCTTGCAAGCAAAACAGCTCGATGATATGCAACAGTAACATTATATTTAGGAAAATAACCTCCTCTCCAGGCCCTTTTTGTCTTCCATTTCCGGGCGCCATCATCCGCCGTCCGAAGTACACACAAAAACGACACAATAAAATTCTCATTCAAAGAGTCACCAATAAACCCAATATTCTTATTCCTCATGAGACCTAGAAACCTCTCCGGGTCGATCCGGTTCATAACACATTGTTCGGGCACCCATTGCCGCGCATTGATCATTCCCATGTGGGCCCTCTGGTTCTTGAAGCAGTTCCAGGCGTTTCTGTGAAAAGGGCAAGTTTCATCGTACAAGGGCCGCTGGCTGTTGGGGTTCTGGAGGATCCACTTGCCCTTGAAAAGATTGCAAGGGGTGGAATTGGAAGAGACTTTTTTGTCGGTCGCAAGGGATGGCGGTGGAGGAGGTGGCGGTTTAGAAGAGGGTGGTGAGAGGAGTGAAGAGTAGAGGTAAAGGAGAATGATTGAGATGAAAACGAGGCAATGGAAGAGAGTGGAGGGGAGATTCGATGACATTTTTACCAACATCTGAGAATCAATCAGCAAAAATCTCTTAACATTTGACAATGTTGAGCCATTTCTTGTCTGAGCAATTTTCGGTGTTCTGTTTTTTCTCGCTTCTGAAATGAGGGGCTTGTTTATACTTCATACGACAAGTTAATAAGGGCTTTAAAATTAGCCGGCGCGAGGTTTTTCACACCCTCGATATTTTAAAAATTACAAATGCATACTAAATTTAGGTGTATCTAAATTACCAATGAGATTTCAAAAATTAGTCAAAATACCCCTAATGTCATTTCATTTGTTATAAAAGATTGATGTGTCATACTAATAGTGGTTTGTGTAATACTACGCCCATAACCTAATCTTATAACCCCAACATGGCAGTTAAGTTGACAACTATTACATCAGTTCACACTACACTCAAGAAACTAAATGACTTTGACTAAACACAAATGATTGTTTTTTAAGGATGAACAACTTCATAAGGAATAGTTGTTTTGAACAACCATTCATTCATAAGAAATTATTGTTTCTTATGAAGGAACAACTATTTCTTATGAATGAAACAATCATTCCTTATGAATGAACAACAATTTGTTCCTAAGGAATGATAATTCATTTCTAAAGAACGACCGTTCAAGTTTAGTTAAAGTCATTAATTGACGTGATAATGTCAATTTTGCTGTCGTGTTAAGGTTGTAAGAGAAGATTGTGAGATTGAGTTATAAAAGTAGTATTTTTGTGGTGGTTTGTACTTTATACAACAACATGATTCACATAGAAATTCTCTCAAATTTGTTAAAATATAATTCATCACATTTCATACTAGTCTATTAAAAAATGAGTCATTGTTAGTTCTTAATTAATTTTAATATTTTTAAGAGTGATTTTTTATGAATACCCAAATGTAAAATTTGTAGGATAATTTACGAAAATTCGAGGATACTTTTAAAATTAGCCTTCTTAATAATTATGTACATTATTAGATGAACCATTATTAAAATAGTTTAGATTATGTTTATTTATTGACAGTTTAGTGCTAAATTTAATTATTTTAATTCAAAGTCTAAAGTTGCTATATTTATCCAAACCCTTAACTATTTTAGCGAAAACCTTAACATTCTTGGCTAGTTTACCCAAATTACTATCTTCTGAATTATTTACAGTTTTATCCTTTATGAAAATTACTAAATAAGACTCAAAAGTACAATTTGTAGGCAACCCATCTAAAATCAATATTTTGCTATTAATATAAACTTTCTATTTCTTTTTCTATGTCATAAACCCAAATTTTATTTAGAATACTCAAAGATGAAATGAGTGGTTTAATTTATGATGTTTGTTTCTAACTTTCAATTGGTTTGCACCATTACGGAATTTCTAAGCTAGTTATTATTATTATTATTATTTTTTTATTTAAAAGAAAACACTTGTGATGTGAATGTGCATGTTATGCCTGGGAAATCAAGGGCTAACGTGGGAAATCACGTGATGAAGTGTGACCTGCTCCCGTCAGAAGGTAAGCGCACGTCAGGCCTGCCAAACGCTATGGGGCTCCCACGTGTCCATTTTCCTACTCCAAATCGCGTGAAATCAGCTTTGGAAGTGGGCAATGTGACGTAAAGCCGGATTATGGCCTGACATTCACACAAACCTAAGGATTTAATGATGATTACTTGCATTCATCTTGTTACAAAAGGAGGAAGACCCCTTCATTAAGGGGATTGGGCTATTTTCACACTCGGAACTAGCTCTCTCTCTCTTGTAAACTTTGTATTTATTTTTCCCAATCATTTGTAAGTCAGTCCGCCATGCGACCTGACCCACAATACTAATACAAATCAGTGGACGTAGGATTTGCTACCTTAGCATCCGAACCACTTTAAAAAGCTCTCATTGCATTTATTTCACATTTCTATCCATAATCACGTGTGTCTCTTGACCAGTCAACGTTGTGCACGTGTCGATTAGTTGGTGTTAAAATCACGCATCAACAGTTTGGCGCTAGAAGGAGGGCCTGATTTAGTGTTCATCCTTCATCAGGAGAATCTTCAACCTACCGGTTCTACAGCAACAAATGGCCCGCCAATCTGAACCTGAGCAAGCCAACTAGCGCGTTGAGGGAGTTCCTCTAACCCAGGGGGATACCCCTTCCAGGATACTTCCAGTTTCACAAAATGCTGCGGTGGATATCCCGACAGCTTCGCAGCTTGACCCCGCCATCAGAAGCTACCTGGAGAGGTTCGACAATACTCTCTAGACGGTCAACCAGAGGCTGGACCGTTTGGACCAAGGCATATCATCTACAACAGCTGGGGCGGTGCAACTGCCAGAAATGCCTGCAGGTCGCGCGAAAGCGCGACAAAGGGAAATAGCCTACGCTGCGAGCACTGCAGCACGTAGACGTAAGGGCAAGCAAGTGGCAAAAAACAAGCCTACGGGCTCCCAAGGACCAGCGAACACAAACCGTGCCCCAAGCAGGGTGCCGGCAAAGCTGAGACTCGGCGAAAAAGTGAATCCCCAGCTGTCCCATGCCACATCGCAGGTGAACCCAAGCAAAAGTGCCGGGCGCGACGATTCCTATCACCGCCAGCAGAACGATCCTGATCACTATCATGCGGGTGGTCCCCACACCTCGCGGGGCGGTTCGTACCACTGCGAGGGTCATGAAAATGCCCTGCACAATCCATCGCCTTCACACGCCTCTAGTCAGCATGTGTCGAGAGCGGCCGGAAATGCTGGCTGAGGCGAAGAGGAGTCCGACCTCCAGACTTTCCTGAACCGTAATCGCGAAGGCCAGACTCGCATGGGTGAAAGCAATCCCCAATTGGCTCCGTTACCACAAATTGAGGAGCTACAGCGAGCTCTGGACAGGCTAAGAGAGCAACAAAACGAACAGGCCCAGGTCGCCTCTGCATCCCCCTTTTCTCCTGAAGTGCTAGCTGCTCCACTCCTACCAGGGTTCAGAATGCCCGACATGCGACCGTTTGATGGGAACCATGACCCGCAAGATCATTTGTATGAGTTCAACGACCTGATGGAGCTCTACCAAGTATCGGATCTTGCAAAATGCCGCTGTTTCTCATGCCAAGCGGTGGTTAAGGTCGCTCCCAGCGGGATCGATCAATTCGTGGCCTCAGATGAGCACGACGTTCCTGCAGCATTTCCAAGCAAATTGGAAGTTTTTGATGCCTTTGAGCTATCTTAGCAACGTAAGGCAAGAAAGAGACAAATCCCTACAATCCTACATCGACCGTTTCCACAGGGAACTCAACAAGGTGGCTCATGCCCCTGAAGAGTCCATCCGAACACTTATAATAGCTGGAGTTCGCCCGCAAACCGACCTGTGGAAAGAACTGCAGGCTGAGGACGATGTTTCCCTCACCAGATTTTACAACCTTGCAGAAAAATATCTCCGAATAGAGAATTCATTGGCGGCACTTCGCCGTCGCGATCACGGCACTTCAAGCGGTATGTCTGGTCGGGGAGAAAATAGGAGAGCTGATCGCAAAGGAGACATTGATGATCAGCGAAAAGGGAAGAAACCCCGCTACGAACACAAAAAGTCCTATGCTCCTGTTCCTCGTTGCGACCAGGACAGAGCTCAATACACTCCGCTGAACGTGTCCATATCTACAATCCTTGACAAATCCGAGGAGGCCAGCCTGCTCGGTGAGCCGGAACCCATGAAAACCCCTGCTACGGCTAGGAACAGCAAAAAGTACTACCGTTTCCATCGGGATAACGGGCATCACACTGATGAATGCCGAGCTCTAAAGCAGGCAATCGAAGAGCTTATCAAGAAAGGGCACTTCAAGGAGTATATTGATGACTCTGTTCCAAAAGGGAACCAAGGGGAGCAAAAGAAAAAGCGTCGTGATCGCAGTGGATACAGTGGTGTTAACATAATCTTCGGAGGCCCGCACCTCACGGGAAACACGCGAGGTGCGCAGGAAAGGTATGCTCGCGAAGCATATCACGACCCGATCAGGGTAATGAACACTTTGCAACGACCGCAAAAGGCTCGAAAAGAGGAGCCAATCACCTTCTACGAAAAGGAAGTAGCTCGCTTGCACCATCCTCACGAGGACGCCCTGGTGATCACGCCCTTGATAGGGTGCCATAATGTCTGCAGAATGCTTGTGGACAACGGAAGCGCTGTGAACATCCTGTTCAAGACCGCTTTCGAAAGAATGAACCTAGACGAGGCCGACCTGAAGCCCGCCTTGATACCTCTTTACGGTTTTACAGGGGACCACCTGATCCGCAAAGGAACGATTCAGCTACCAATCACGCTCGGCGACTACGATGAGGTGACTAGGGTTACCAAATTTTTGGTCGTGGATTGCCCATCGGCCTTCAATGGAATCTTGGGGTGACCTCTGTTGAGAAGCTTCAAGGCAGTCACTTCCATATATCACCTCAAGATTAAGTTCCCCACTCCAACGGGGATAGGGAAAGTGAGCGGATCGCAAAGCGCATCTCGTGAATGCTACATAAAAGCGGTGCCGATGGCAGGCAAGGGAAAGGGCATTTCGCGATGTGTGCCTTGCCAGGCTATGGCGATCAGCCGGATCGAGCCACAGCCTAGTCCAGCGGAGGATAACATAGATCCGCGAATCCAGGAAATCCCTCTCAGCGGCCCGGTTGAGGATCTGTCCGAGATTTCGGTTGATCCAAAAGAGCTAAGCCGAGTGTTAAGGATTGGAAGCTGTTTCAACCCTCAGCTCGTTTCCGAACTGATAAGCTTCCTGGTTGAGAATATCGATGTGTTTGCCTAGTCGCATGCAGATATGGTCGGGATCAGCTTGGACATCACTTGCCATGCATTAAACATCGACTGTGAGGCCAAACTGGTTCGTCAGAAAAGAAGAGCAATGGATCCGGAGCAGTATGCTGCATTAAAGTCAAAAGTGGAAAACCTCCTCCAGAATGGGTCCATCTGAGAGGCACTCTACCCGACTTGGGTCGCCAACCCGGTCCTAGTAAAGAAGCCAAACGGCAAGTGGCGGACCTGCGTTGACTTCAGCAACCTCAACAAGGCTTGCCTGAAAGACAGCTTCCCTCTGCCGAGAATCGACTAGCTCGTTGATGCCACCTCGGGGCATGAGTTGCTAAG